ACTTGGTCTCCGCTTCCCAAAGTCCAGAGCTGCTTAAAGCGCCTGCTACGCTTGCGTAACCATTCGGATACTTAGCGAGGGGGAGTGTTGAACAGGCGCTGGTTTACACAGCTTGCCTAATCCAGCCGTCACAAGATATGGAACGGCACAGCCGGTTACTGCAATAACCGAGGCTGTACTACTCATGTGGTACACACACAGCTTTGCTGTGTACGCACTGCTTCTCTGTGCGACTGTGCATCCTGGGAATGTACTGTATAGTACTACGTAGCCACAGATGTACAGTAGTATATATAGGGGACCTCTGTACCCCCAATCTACAGTTCAGTTCACTCGAACATCTCCTCTCATCGCTCTAACAAGCCTCTTACAACCAACAACCCTTCTAGGTGAGTTGCAGGCTATCCGCTGTCGTTGCCACCCGTGGGAGAGGCCTTCGCCCCCCGGGTTCAACACTGGGTACAGCACTACTGGTCCAGGAACGGCCAAATCTCCATTTGTGGACCTACAAGCTACTGCAGCCATTGCTTCGGTCCTCAGATCTGGGTGCCCAATACGTCGGACCCTATCCGAGCATCGCATATTCTCCAGCATTGTTGTCAAGGAGAGTCGGCTCGCCCGAGTCTGTTCTCACCGCTGTGGCAGTGTCTATGTAATGTGTCAAGATTTGTGAGCTGTCTGGCGAGCCGATGAGGCGCTCTCCGTGCTTCGGACAAGGGTTCCCTCGGAGTTCTCAATCACCTTCGCAGTCTTGTCCAGAGCCTTCCCATGGGTTCGTGTCCCTGTTGAGTTCTATATCAAACCGTTATGTACAATCCGAGGCTTGATGCGAGCATTACGACCAACAGGTGACAAGGACCCGACCAAAGCTCTGCTGTCCCAATGCACTCTCCACTATGCTACAGATGTTGGAGGGTGTAGGGTGAGTGCACTGTGTGCGTTGCCAATTGTTTCCGTGACCCTCGACTGGGGCAGACAAAGTCGACTTGTCTGAACGCAATGAAACCGGTTGAAATGACCGAATTTCAAACCGCTTCGTATCAGCGGAACATTGGGCTCCGTATCGCATAATGGTACTTACATCACATTTATGCCATCTGCCTCCCGGTGCGAGGCCCGCTGTGAGGGAAAATCGTGATTTTCGTCGGAAATTCTCCGATTTCGACGCAGAACGGCCCCTCACATTGCAAAGACAGCGCTGCACGGGTGACCAATGGTTGTCCTAAATTTAATCTGGGCTGCTTGAGCGTATTCAGCTTGCTTCCAGGCAGTCGGACGAGGGATGCGGCCGGTACACCCACCTCGTCCTCGAGGTGCCACCCAGTGCCCATAACACCCTGCGGAAACGTTGATTTTGAGAACCCCTTTCTGGGCCGCGAAGAAACTGTCTGTCAATGTAGTCAATGTGTTTCGTACACGGTCTGTGTATTTTGCGCCGCCTCCGCATGTGCCAATGGTGCGGGAGAGGACGCGCACTTTCCGTCGCAACGAAAACGACGGAAAGTGCGGATTTTGAGAACTCGTCGGAGCGCGGTGAAATCGAGTGCGTTCGATGCGGGATATGCAATACATTCGGATGGTAGCACTTTTCCACTTCCTCTGCACGTCCAACGGTGCAGGAGAGGACATGCACCGTTGGATGCACCGAGAACGACGGAAAGTGCGGATTTCTAGAACTCGTCAGTGCACGGCGAAACCGAGTGCGTTCGGTGCGAAATATGCAATACATTCGAATTACAGCGGTTTCCCGCCGTCTCTGCATGCCCATCTGCGCAAAAGAGGACGCGCACTTTCGGACGCAATGAAAACGCCCGAAAGTGCGGATTTTGAGAACTCGTCAGTGCACTGCGAAACCGAGTGTGTTCGGTACGGAAAGCGCAATACATTCGAATTGCAGCGATTTCCTGCCGCACGGACGATGCGTGCAGAAGAAAAAAAAACCTTTTTTTCGGCGGGAGCGACCCCCACCCAGAAAGCTCTCTGCGGCCGCCATATCCTCTCCTGCAGCGTGTCTGAACACTGCTACAAATCTACCACAAGGCCCCGATGCCACCCAAAGACTGCACAGTGGCCTGTGGCCGTGGAGGAGTCTTTTCGCCATCAACTGGCCCATGCCGTCATTCCGAGCCACGGACGGTCAGAGTTGCTTCATCAAGGTCACTATTCACACAAGCGTTTGGTACGGCGGCGTACGGCAACGCGCAAGCATCTATTTCATAACAAACTAACCGGTACATGTTCGTACCTACGTCTACCAACCCGTGCAGACGTCTGGTCGGCGGCCGTGCTCGTTTAGCACGGCCGTCGAGTGACGCTATCCCTGGCTTAGCACGAGAACGGGATGCAGGTGACTCACCTGCACGGCCGTCGGCGGCGTTTGCGAACGATGTCCGGGTCCGAAATCCGCAGTTCTCCACTCATAGACGAATGCGGCCGCGACTCAAGCCGAGTCCGTTCGTCGGGGACCGTGTTTTCGAGTGGACAGCGATGATCGAGTTGTCCGCACGGTTGCAGCGGATTCGTGGACGGTGCGTTCCCAGGAGACGGTAGGTACGCATTCAGGTTCGGCACACTCATTGATCGCGGCACATATTGGGTGGTGCGCTGCCCTCGGATTCACGCTTAGGATGCGTGGGCGACTGGGACGGCGAGTGCGATGAGGCGGAGGGGACGGAGAGACGGCGGCCGAGGTGACGAGACGGGGTGACGAGAAGGGAGACTCTGGAGCGCTGAGGGAGGTATAAAGGGAGAGGAAGCTGTGGGGAGACAACATGAGTCACCGGTTCCGTTTCCCTCCTCGTCGGAATTCGTTTGTGTGCTTACTCCTGGGCCTTGCTTGTCCGGGGACGACCATGGCCGGCTGCCATTGCTCGCGACGCAAGCTGGGGGATTTCGTGTGGACGTCGTGGGCACCATCTCCGGCGGACAATGGCTGGTGTGCTTCGTTCGTGTCGAGGGTGGAGGTGATCGTCGGTGAGCCTACTGCAGCCGCCCTCGCGTATGGTCTTGACCGTGCGGACAACCGACGACGGCGGGGCGCATGAGAGTGGGAAAGCTTGTCGGTTGTTTTTGGTGAGTGCTGCTAGCGATCGACGTCAAAGAGGATACTTACGAGGGCGATTTTGTATGGTACCGGTCGCGGGCAGATAGGATGAATATTGATGACGAGGCGGACGATGGCGGGGGCACGACGGGAGGCGGTGATTAGGTGTAGACAGCCTGTATTTGGTGGACAAAGGGTGGAAATGAGTGTGTTCGGTACGATGGGCTCGGTTACTGCGGCCGCGCTCGCGTATGGTCTTGACCGTGTGGAACCATCAGGCGACGGCGGCGAACGCAAGACGAGACAGGGGAGCGACTCACCTGGGCGACTCGGGCGGCCGAGTGCTTGTGCACGTCCGGGGAAGGCATGCGGTTCGGCGGGTGAGGCTGCTGCCTGCGTCGGCGGAGACCTGGCGCAGGGCGCCGATTGTCGGTGGTGGACAGGACACGGCCGCAGGCGGGTGCTCGGGTGCAGGCAGAGGGAGACGTTCACCGAGCTTCGTGATGAAGTCTGTGACGGCGAAATGAATATGGAGCGCTCCGTTACGAGAAAGCTGACGGCGTACGGAAGTCGCATGAGGAGCGGAGCGATGCAAGGAGTGGAAGTGCGTCAGGACGGGATGGGATGCATGACGGGCTGGGGACGCATGACGGGCTGGGGATGGAGAGGTGCTTACGTTGGGCCGTCCTCTTTGATCGCCGTGGGTTGGCCAGTGTCGCGAGTGCGGTGCTGTTTGCCTGCGCAGTCGCGAATCCGATTGTCGACGCAGTCAGGTAGCGGTTGAGAGGATGCAGAGTTGTGGTAGAAGTCGAAGGAGACGCGATGTCAGCAGATAGGAAGCATCACAGGAGCAAACAGACTACGTACCAAAACCACTTGGCCGAACATGTTGCGGCGCAACTTGAGCTCGGATTCCGGTAACGAGCTTGGTGCGTGGTGGTCGAGTGTGCTAGGAACCGGAACGTTACCGTGGGCTGCGTTCATGTACGGCGTCGCACGTTGGGAGCGTACAGGACGCGCAGACAATCGAGCGCATCGGCCGCTGGAGCAACAAATGGGGGACTCACCTGGGCGATCGACGCTGCCAGATCTGGCGTCGGGGCTGGTGAGACGGGACATGGAAGGGAGCAGAGAGAGCGGGCGAGCGGTCAAAGACGCGAGCAAACGCGAGGCAGCCAGCCAATGGGAGCTCCTGGCCATCCACGACTGCCCTCACCAGCATCGCCAGCATCGCCAGCATTGCCAGCCTCGCCAGCCTCGCCAGCCGTGCCATCGAACCGCATCCAAATTGATGGGCACCCCAGAAAGGTCCTTGGCGTCAACGTGCTTACTATCGTCTGGGTTACCCAATTTGGAGCGACGTCTCACCTTACCTTGAACACCCACTGCCATCCACGACTACCCCCACCTCAACATATCATGTTTGTGCTCATTCTCGAGCTTCCCACCGGACGTACCACCGAACCGGCTATAGGACAGGCACAATCATGTCTGTGGCAACGCCAGACGACGTCATCGACGATGCCCTCAGCGACGGACGACGGCGTGGCAGCGATGTCTAGGACTTGTTTCCTCCATCCACAATGTCCTCTGCTCTGCCACCTCTTGCTCAAGCTTTCTCTGGCGCGCTTGGGAGCGCAGCTGCGAATACAGTCTCGTACCCTCTCGACCTCGTCGCCACAAAGTTGCAGACCAACAACTCTCGCAAGCATAGAGGGTTTCGGGGCGTATATCGACTCGTCACCCACATACGATATTCGGAGGGATTGGCGGGGCTGTATGACGGGTTGCCCACAGATACGGCGTCGACACTTATATCCAAGTACGTCTTTCATCAGGGGTGATCAGAGCGTGCGATCTTGAGGCGATTCTCATTCCGGAGGACGATTATGGTCACGATTCCCAGAGAAGCGTCTGCGATTCTGTGCGATTATGCCAAAGTCGCCTCCAGAATCGTCCCAGAATCGCCCCGTAATCGTGCACTCTTTCCACCCTGATTGCAGTATTTAGTTGACGTGGTGCTGACCGAACTAGCTTTCTATACTTCTATTTCTACACACTTCTCCATGCACTCGCAGTCCGAAGGAGAGGCTCTTCAAAGGAGCCGCTTCTCCATACACTCAAACTCGCCCTTACTTCTCCGACTCGGCCGGTACTCTTGGGGCCGCCCACCGAGCTCGCGATCGGGTTCGTCGCAGGAGTCGCGAGTCGTGCCGTTTCCACACCACTCAGTGTGATCACTGTTCGCCTTCAAACGAGCGACGAGGACGACGGCGCGAGTGATGAAAGCGCAAAACGAACTGCGGAGGACAGGAGACCGGGGTTCACTGAAGTCGTACGGAACATATATACAGACGAGGGGTTGCCGGGATTTTGGACAGGTGCGCACGATAAGTGCACTCGAGTGGTCGTCTGACTTGACGCGCACCACTAGGCTTCCGCCCAACGCTACCCCTTTGCCTCACCCCCGCCCTCACATTCATGTTCATGCAACTTCTTAGCCGCCTCCGCCTTCCGCGCAGGTCTCCCTCCCCGTCAAGCCAGTCCGCGCTCGGCGCGTTCCTCGGCGGCGCGGCTGCAAATGCACTCGCTATCACGATTCTCTACCCCCTTCTCCTCGCGAAGGTGCGCGTACAAGCATCGGGGACGCGTTCTGGGCATACGCCCTCTATGACGGACGTGTGGGCCGCGGCATTGAGGGCAGAGGGCTGGCGAGGGCTGTATGCAGCGCTCGGGGTCCAGATTGTGAAGGGATTCGTGAGTCAGGGCGTGACTATGCTCGTGAAGCAGAGGTGCGTCTGTGTCTGCGGGTGGCTACCCGTCATGCTCACTGATGGTCCTCCGACGTTGTGCAGAATCGAGCGCGCGGTGGCCAGGTTGTACGCCAGGAAATAGCAGATGCACGAGTACACATCACTGAACCGTCGGCACATATCCTGCTCATGTGCTTGTATCACAGATTGTATGGTACGTCTTTGAGAGTCAATGACGTCCACAAGCTCACAAGGGGACCAGGTACTCGTCTGCCGAATACCTATGTGTAGATGATGTCATGCGCAGATCTCCCTGAAGCAGGCCTGATAGTGAATACATCTTCCGCAAACACCCTCGATTGACCAATGGCGTGCTGCATCTTCCTGTCACCTCGCCCCTGTCGTTAACAATAGCTCCCCCGACTGAATGTTGACCAATCGCAACATTCGTAGTACCGCATACTCAGACGGTCTTCTCAGCCTCCTCATAAACTTAGATACCACATTCGTCAGCTCTTCGCACATTTGAGGTTTGCTCATTACCGCAGCAGCGTCACGCCATCTGGATGCTGCGGTCGTTCCAGATCCGACTCGGACGTTCCAGATCCGACTCGGAGATGAGTTGCGGATGAGCCGGAGTACATAAAGCCACTGCGAGCGAGAACGCGCCTCCAATGGACTCCTGCCGTTACGCCTGTGACAGATGGGGGAGGCAACCCAGTCCGCTTGCACGCGGCTCAGCCAGGTACGTGCTGTTGACAGCTACGTGGATACCGCCTAGCTTTCGATCGCCTTTCTGAATAACTATGCGGGCGGTATCCTCCATGTCGCGTCATTGGTCTGCTCACATCCCCTCTGAATTCGCAGGTGTCCGACGGCTGCTTTGTCGTATGGACGGCGTACCGTGTTGCTCGCAGTTGTGAGTGTTCATTGAG